GGTTGCTTGGCATTGAGACAAATCAGCCATCAATAGACACATAGAGATAAACCACATTTTCACACCATCCAAAAGAGACAATTAAAAAGCTATGAAGGAAACAAAAAGACCAGAACCCATCCTCTCCAGCAACCAACATCCAGATAAGCACGGATTAATATCAGATAAATAATTAAGGAAAAATAATACCCTAAGCAAGAAACTACAGCAAGGAGAAAAATCAACCAACACTGGCAGGACAAGCTATTCTATATAAACAGGAACCAAACCCCACACTTATTTGCACTAAAGATATTACCTAATTAGGTAATGAAATATCTGCAAGCAAACAACCATGTTCAGAGAGTACCAAGGACTCCATAGTTCAACCTGAGCTACATATATTTTCTTCTATTAGCATAGCACAACACTGGAAAAATCCTCTAGCAGGCTTTTTAAGATGTTAATCAAAGCATTTCATTAGACCAGTTATGTCACTCTAAAAAACAGAAGATCTAACCTGGGAATGAGAATCAATTTCAGTTCTACTACTGGGATATTTGTTACCAATCGGGGGACAACATAGTTCCATAGCACCATCCTTGACATTTATGAAGCTCACTGCCCTGACCTAACAATATTTTTAATGGACATATGACTTATTTGTAAAAATGGTTGGGTCCCACTTCGGTTTCTTAAGCCTTTCTTTAAAAAGTAATGGATGCTTGCAATCAACTCCTTTGCAACTTTGTGTTGAAGTTGGATGGCTATGGTAGGGAGCAATCTTCCCAGCTTAACATCTGATAAATGGATATTTTATTGCCAGCTGCCAAAGTAGCCATTTTGTGAATAGATATGTTTCCCCACAGTAGACATTTTGTGAAAACACCTACTAAATGCTCTCAAACTTTAAATGTTCCCCATAATTCTCTACAAATTGGGAACCCTTAGTTCACGCTCATTTTATTTGTAAAATTAAATTAGCTGTGGCTATATATTTGAAAGGAAATGAAGTCTGGTATCTTACATAAAATGCACAAACAGAAGACTTACTTGTACATAAAATGTTCGAGAACTTGTTACAATTTCAAAAAGATTGTCTCTCATCATAATATCACTGAAAACATACAAAATGTAAATGTATGCATTGTTAAAATCAAATTCTAGCTCATGTTTCTGATACAGAAAAATGCATTCTATACAGTTTTAAAACATCTGCTTTGAAAATAATTAAATTACATGCAGGTAGTCCTCATTTAATGATCACTATTAAGAGCAGCAACTTTGGTTGTTAAGCAAAGCAATAGCTAAATGAAACTGCTAGTGTGCTTATGATCTTATTTCAGTTTCTCTTTGCTTTAGGAGCTGCAAAGATCATAAATGCAAGGACTGATCACAAAACTATTTTTTCACCAGCATTCTAACTGTAAATAGCTGTTAAATGAGGACCACCTGCACTATACAGATAATCCTTGACTTACGACAATTGGGACCAGAATTTCTGTTGTTAAGGCAGTTAAGTGAATCATGCCTGATTAGTTAAGTGAATCATGCCTGATTTTGCTAATTGTTAAGCAAATTACTTTAGTTGTTAAGTAAATCCAGTTTGCCCCACTGACTTTGCTTGTCAAAACTGGCTGTAAAGGTCACAAATGATGATCTTGTGGCCCCAGGACACTGCAATCATCAGAAATACATCCTGGTTGCCAAGATCCCAAATTTTGATCACATGACTGTGGGGATGCTATGACAGTGTAAGTGGGAGGACCAGTCATAAGTCACTTTTTTCAGTGCCACTGTAACTTTGAACAGTCACTACAAATGGTTGTAATTTGAGAACAACATGTATTGTACACTATAGCATGTAATGTACTCTACCTCCCTTCTTCTTCTACCAGCTCAAAGCAGTTACATTATTATGACTCTAGATAAGCAAATTATAGCCAGTGCATTTAAAGTTATGATCAGACTGGCTAGTGTTTAGGCTATACGAAGATTATTATCACCTTTTTGGCACAACCTCCATTAGGATGATAATCAGACAAAGGCAAAGCAAAAACATACTCCAGTGCTTCCAGATTTACCTACTGTCTCCTTCTTTCGTAAACTCCAGGCAAATATGCCCACTGCTGAATCGTAACTAAGTTTATTCCTCAAGTTAAACAAGACAAGCATAGGTTAAAAATTACATAGGAGATATCCTAAGAAATTTTATAATGTCATAACAGAATCACCTGGTAAGTTAATGAACCAGACCATTTTAAATGTGTTAAAAAGCAAGAATCCTTTCAAGTTCAAGGTGACTATTTTCCTGCAGGTTTTTGGGAAGCACTCCTTGGAAATGGTTTGCTTTTGTCTTTTTTTTAAAACTGCCCAATCTAATCAAAAGCCCTGAAATTCCTACACTGCCTCCATCCAAGCACTAATCAGGGTTAATCTTGCTTAGTTTTCAATCACAACCACCACCTTCCTGAACTTTCATTATAATATACAAATGACTACATTTGTCCTGTTAAAATATCCCACGTTTCAAATAATTTGACTTTATAATTTAATTGTATGGCAAATGAAATGTATTAAATTGTGATGAGAAATAGCATGACCAGGGTTTCTTCTTACTCCAATTACATAGGGTTTGATACCTTTACAATTCTCACCTTTATTTACATTCTTGGACTTTATGAACTTCTTTCAGTGGTATAATCCGAAGAGGTTCCTTATCCTGAAAAATTAGAATCATTAAAACGTTAATATTTTAGCAAATAAATACCAAAAATATGTGTTGCACAAACCTCTGTTGAAGGAAAAGATCCAAATGGAAAATTTATTGACAAAATAAAAGAGACCACAGGATAAAACCATACACATTTCTACATGAGTTTGGTTAACAGAAATAACTCAGATTCTTCCATTTCATGTTGATTCCCTAGAGAAAGGAGGGCCCCAGAAAGAATTCCATTAGCTAGTTAATGTCTTAACAAAAGGTGACTGAACAGTTCATTTCAGTATTCCATGATTAACAGTCTGTAAGAATAATGCAGCTCGTTCTCATTTAGCGACTACAATTGGGATTAGCAACTTAGTTTTAAACACAGCATTCGCTAAGTTAAAAAAAAAGGGGGGGGACAGCAATTGTGCTTATGATTTTACTTCAGCTTGATTCCAAACAGATAAGTAAGCCCATTTGGCAAAAAAGGTTTCTGGAACTCAATTCATAAGAAACTGTAAAAGAGCAAATCTTATAGTCCTTTTTCTCCACTACTCTGGTCTTGTGAATGCTCACCATGGTGCTGGGATAATTAGCAAGAAGACAATGTTTCTTAATGTTTTTCCCCACCCCAAAGGCACCCAGCATTCTTTTCTTTATCATGCTGCCTCTTCCCTCAGGAGCTGAAAATCCTCCCTACTGAAATACGAAGCAGCATTTTCAGTGATGAGACATGCAGCAGATCTCCCAAGACCTTCCCTACCCACCTGAGACAGCCTGTGCTCCTTATCTTACCTATGCTGCCTCCCTGCTCGGGAGCTGAAACTCTTGCTTGGATTTTGGTTACTTCTCATCTCTGGTTGAAAGAGCTGCCTGCCAAAGGATATCAACTCTCTTTCATGCACTCT